TTTCCCTTTCTCTGGCAAAACTCATGTGAAATAAATAAATAAAATCATTCTTTTTTTTAAAAAAAAAAGTCATGACTTTTCTGACAACCCAATAGATTATATATATTTTAATGTTACACATTTTAAAAATATTTTGGGAATTGTATTTCAATATAATTTTTCTTTTTAATTTACCAAAGGATGCATGTGCTCACCAAAGAGGGAGAGAGAGAAATCACTCCCAGATGGGATGCTTTCCCACCACGGTCCCCCCTCCGTTGCCCCTCCTTTGGTTATGCATGTCATAATCCTGCAAGCTGCTGGGTCCCAGATTTGAACCATGAGCTCGGCTACATAGAGTTTGGTTCCCTTAATCACTAGGCCATGGGGCCAGGCCTTAATATAATTTTAGAAAGTAATTTATGGGGGGGGGGCTGGCAGGTGGCATGGTGGTTAAGGGTGGTGGACCCCCACATGACCAACTGAGGTTCGAGTTCCAGACCTGGCAGCTTGCTTTCTCACTTTCTCCCTCTCTCTCTCTCTGTCCCTCTTTAGTCAAATTAAAATAAATAAATAAATGTTAAATAAAATAATTTTTAAAAGTAATTTAGGGGACTAGCATGTGGCATTGGTAAGGTGGCTGGATCTCACATGACCTGTGTGGTTAAGTCCTGGATCAAAAGCTTGAAAATCATGACAGGCGTGTGTGTCCCAAATCCCAAGAGGATAATGGAGAAGAAGGGACTGCAGTATGGCCATCCCCTGGCCCCCATCGGGAAGCGATTTCTCACTTTTCCTCTCTCTTTCTCTCTCTCTCTGTGTCTCTCTCCAGCAACAAGAAAATACATGACATTTATTTTATGGATGTAAAGACACTATACTCAGAAGGAGTCACAGCATCACAAGACTGGACCACTGTCACTACAGAGACCGGCATGTGCAAAGACTCTGAGGCCTTAATCAGTAAAAGAAAGAGCTTACATATGGCCTTGCAGGACGCTGTTAGGAATTTGGCTTTTGCAGGAGTAATATAGAGGGTTTTGAGCAGAAGAATGACATGATTTGACACTGGATTGTACAGGCCACTCTGCTGTTATGTGGAGAACAGACTGAAGTCAGCAAAGTAGAATCAGGAAGTCCTTTTCAGAGGTCACTTAATAAACCGGCTGAGAAATGACGTTAACTTAGACCAGAGTGGAAGTGGTGAGAAGTGGTCAAATTCTATATATATTAATATTTTGAAGGTGGCCTTCATAGAATGCTGATGGCGTATGAGAGAATGAAAGAAGTCAAAGATTACCACAAGACGTTTGCCTTGAGCGAATAGAAATTCAGACTTAGGAACGGAAATAGG